AAAATTTTGTAGCAGCAGTTTTACTTTTTTTGCTGGACATTTACAAGATCTAGTATATATGCTGTATTTCATAAAAAGTGATGAAATCAAAATGTATATAGATTGGTTTTGATATGTGTGGATCTATTTCTAGACTCCTTAGGGGTAACTGCCATCAAGTGTAAATAACTTTTTTCTTTTAACACAATTAAACTGCCTAGTTTCCAAATACCCATGCGGCTTATTTTATTTTATAAATGTGTATATTGCGGACACATAATAATTTTGTATAGCATAGATAAGCTGGTACATGGTGAGACTTGTAGAAACATCAATTTTTTGTTGTGTTTTTCTTAGTACTGAATACTATTAAGAACTTCCAGTTTTATTTGTTATTGTGAGTGCTTGTTGCTCCCCTGTAATCAGATATAAAAAGCTTGCAATATTGCTGTCAATAACACTGATAATAGATAGTATATTTAGTGCTCACATGCCAACCGAAAATCATGCTTTATATAGCCGTTTTTAATACCTATTGAATGTTAGTAATCAGGACATGATCTTTAATTTTTTAATGTTTTAAAAGAAACAATTAACTGTAATTAGTAGTGTGAGTGTTTTAACCCACTAACGGCGAGTGTCCAACATATGAGACACTCGAAAATATAAACATTGCCGGGTGTCCCGCCAATGGCCCGGGCAGAATCCGGGCCAGCCCTGCGGGCCTATTTTGTAGCCACCCGGAATCTTTTATTTTCGGCTTCAAAATATAACGGCATTAATGGGTTAAAGAAGAGAAAGAAATTAACAGTTCATTTTGGTGGTTAACATCATTTATATTCCTATTTTTCTTGGAGAGAATAAGACAGATGGTCAACTCAGAAATATGTGGTACAGAATAGACCTGCATAAATATGCTATTTAATGATGGCTGATTATCATCCTGTAAGCACATTTAAAAAAGTAAGAATACAATCATTCTGTTTAGAAGCCCACAAAAGAATCTTTTACCAGCATGAGAAAAGATTAGGCCATTATAAACTTTTTTGAATTATTATCATCATTATTTTATTTTAATTTTTCCTTTAACCCAATAACGACGGATGTCCCATATATGAGACACCCGAAAAAATAAACATTACTGGGCGCCGGGGAAGATCCGCCCACCGATTTTGTAGCCGCCCGGAATATTTTATTTTTGGCTTCAAAATATACCGGCGTGAATTGGTTAAACTTAGAAATGTTGTTTAATAAGATTAGATATTTAATTATACAGTTAATCCATAACTACTTGCTGCTGGGGATGGCATGTGCATACAGGCCATGCCCACTGTGTGTTCAGTTTAGTAATTATTTTTACATTTAGATGGCTCCATACTTATTAAGTCACCAATGAGCCAGTTATGAGAACTTATCTATCACCTGTTTACCCTGCTAAGAAAGTTGAAGTCTCAAGATCTGCTAATTAACTCCTTTGTAGCTAAGCACTGGCAGAGCCATCTATGTACAGAAACATTTAACAAAACAATACTAAATTGAACAAAACATTTTCCCATCAGCATTGAGTTAATATTCATGAAGTGGACAATATTCCTGAAAAGTCATAGAATCTGACTTTGACAAAATATACCTCACAAGGATAGGCTTCTCTGGGTTGATGCCTCCTCTGCTACCCCTGCCAATGTTTCCCTATATAAAGAGGGGCAGCAGGCTATGGGGCCCAACGTCTGCCTGTGGGGTTCCCGTAGGCTATGCCCCTTGGACCTCACACTGGATTGGAGGCTGCCAGTGTGCAGGGAGAAAGAGTAACTCCTGTTCCTACCCTGCATCCCAGCAGTTGCCTCCCAACAGGACCTACAACCCGCCTCACTTGCTGGGTAGGAGTGGCAGTACCCCACCCCCCAGCGTTTCCATTTACACGATGCACTGCCACATGGTTGATATATGGGGGGAGGACTGGTAAAGCCCACCTCTTCTGAACCACCTGTTGACCCCATGGGGCTGAAGGGCAGGAGTTGGTATGGGGCCAGGGCATGTCCACATGCTGGTGGGCCATGACTCCATACCTCTAGGGCCTCCTGGTGCACTGAGATCGCATACAATTTGGCTTGGGACTGCAAGGTGCCCAGTTTCCATTGGTGGCCATGAAGAAGCACTACAGAAGTCTTGATGATGGAGAGACTATAAACCGGCAGGGGGAGGCTTGTGCATAGCTTCTCCCTTTTTTGCACTAGGCTAGCCAGTGGTAGCAGCTGAAAGCAAGAATACATGCAAGCACTTAACATTACCTAGGCTTAACATCACCCTGAGCATGAAACACCCACCCAGGGACATTTTTCTGCCACAGATATGAATTTAGTGTAGAACACCTCTTTCTCATCAAGTTTACAGACATCGGTAGAAGTGTATACAGCAGTAAGAGACACAAAGCCAAAAGCATGATTCAGTCTCAATGCCATAATGCACTTGTCTCATCAATCATAGCAACCTCTACTACTGAAGGTTGAAGTTGGAGATGGCTATGGGTACTCCCTGGAGATGGTGAGCATTGCCTCAGCCCAACCAGTAATAGGTGTGCTGACCCATACTGATCATGCTGGTGCCTGGTCTTCTCACCTCAGAGAGAGCAGTCACCTCAACTCCTACCTGAATAGCCTGCCTGAGGTTAAACTGGCATTATAGCAAAAAACATAGCATAGGAAGCCTTAGAATTATGTTAAGATTGAATTAATTAGTAGTCTGAATGTCCTGTTTGATGTCAAGAACAGATAATCAGAATCAGATGAAAAAGGTAGTTGCACAGAAAAAAATGGGATGTCTATCAGTAAGGCATTGCAGAACCCTGTCCTGAACCTCTTATGTTCCCTCTACTGACTGTTTACTTTCTAGACTTCATTGTTTTTTGTATACATATCCTCTGATTATGCCCCCATACATTTTATGACAGGGTCCCCAATTTAGGAACCGCTGTTCTAGGTAGTCAATTTTATACAATAACAATAATGATAAGTAACATTGTTATTTGTGTAATATTTTAATATTTTCATGTTAACCCACTTGCGCCGGGTGTTATACATATGTGATGCCCGGAATATAGACAATGTTTACTTTCTAGACTTCATTGTTTTTTGTATACATATCCTCTGATTATGCCCCCATACATTTTATGACAGGGTCCCCAATTTAGGAACCGCTGTTCTAGGTAGTCAATTTTATACAATAACAATAATGATAAGTAACATTGTTATTTGTGTAATATTTTAATATTTTCATGTTAACCCACTTGCGCCGGGTGTTATACATATGTTATGCCCGGAATATAGACATTGGCCAGCTGTCCCACTGGTGTGACGCTAGACTGGAGCTTGTGCTCTGATTTTGTGGCCCGATGTGGGTGGTGTGCAGGCAGGTTCCTGGACTGGTCTGTGCACCAATTTTGATACCGCCCTGAAATGGGGATTATCACCCTCCAAAGGGATCATTGCAAGTGGGTTAAATTTGCTATAAGACACCCTGTGCCATAGGTCATGGCAGGTAGGGATAGGATCGTAAGTATGGAATGGTGTCCTCCCTGGAATTGGCGCTCTTCAAGACATGGCCCTTGGATGGAATATTCAATCCTCATTTACCAGTGGATGTAATGCAAAAGCCCCTTCAGACTTGTCTTAAACTTTGGCCGAGTGACAGACAAGAATCAGCTAAAAGACATGTTTGTGAAAAGGTTTGACAAAACTGCAGAGCCAAATATTTTTTTACAGTTATTATCAAATCTCACAGTGTATGACCTTTCATGAATTCCACTTCATATTAATTGGGAACTTAACCCGTTGCCACCTGGTGGCATGTACGTACATGCCATGGCTGTTGTGGACCGAATGCTGGGGGCATCGTGTCATGCCCATTCCCGCACCACTGGCTCGTCAAACGGAGGTTGTTTTTTTCCGATAGTAGCGGCTTCATTTATATGGTAAAGATTTTAGACAATGGCACCTATAATGAAGGTAAACATTCAAAATGTTAATATTTTTATAAATTTTAGCAAAATAAAAGCTTTTAGGTGCTAAATGTCGCTCGCAAACTACTGATTGAGCTGTGCGCAAACAGGGGAAACGGCCGATGCGCGCCAACAAGCCCATGCATATGTCCACTTGCCAAAATTTTTACCTGTCGGCGATGGGTTAAGTTAAAAATTTTGAAGAGTGATCAGATGATAGATTTAGCCCACCAAAGAGATAAAAAATATTGCTAAATGAAAATGAAACTTGAAATAACCTTAGGAAAAATACTAGATAACAAATGACAGTAAAAAAAATATATATATATATATAGTATATGACAGCTGTTGTACAAGTATGTATATTTTTTATGGTAAAGTATTGAAATTTGATATACTCCTCATACCATCTTTCTCTTGTGAGCAATTGGCTGTTTCAGTTTTAGTGTTGCCACATCATCTTGTTTTTATGTACGAAAATACTTTTTCCCATTTAAACCTTCCAGTGGTTACTTTTGGTCTTTGGTGATAAGGAAATCATAGCCCGAAATTGCACATGTATATTTATTTGTATTTTTGTATGTATGCAGTCGACTACCATAGCTGTATACTAACATGATAGTACTAGCGATACCCACACTACACAATTGCAGACATGAATGTTCATGAAGGATTTTGTTGTTGTACTGCATTGACAGAATTGTCTTAACAAATGGCTGTACCTTGCTCTCTTTACTGTCCAAGAAAAGCTTAGAAAATAAAATTACATAAATATATATAATAAACTAACTATTCTTGATATAGAATCTTTGTGGTTATATGCAAGTATTAGGAAACCTTGAATAATCAGCTGCATATGGGTTAAGAACCAGATAAAGTGTTTTAATGAATTACGATAAATTTGTAAAAAAAAATTAACAATGCCAAAGTGAAAGAGGAAGAAAATGTCACCTTACCTTTAGAAATGTTTTACTATATCCATCTGCTTGCCTCACTTTGACTCCTCACAATGCTGCCATCATTTCAGACGAACGTCATACATCAATAATAACCTGAATGCAAGCACCTCAACAACGGCCCCCCCTGCTTCGCCAACCAACAGCAGTAGTCATCATGCTGAGAGCAGTCCTGCAAGTAGTGTCAATGCCTGTGAGAGTAGCACGGCCAACAACAACAATAATGACATCACTCGTAGTGACAGCAATAAGACCAAGAGTACGCAGATGAGCAAAGAAGAGAAAAAATTTGGTATGTTTTTTATGACTTTCTTTTGGGATATAAAGAGTTTAGTTTTAGTAAAGTTAGATTTTACAGAATAATAGCAAATTATAGAGGGTGAAAATTTTGGTTAAAACTAAAGTATGTGTTGACACTAAAAAATATTGATTAGGCAATTGGATTTTGAAAAGAAAAGGGATTCATCACAAGGCAGTATGAAAATAGGATTATTTAAAGGTAAGTAAGGTCTTTCTTATTGAGATAGGTGTCAGATTTCTGGCTTCAGGTTACACACCTGTATTGATTGGTTGGGGGTTTGCCTATCACAGACTTGTCTTTTATTTTTCATATATTTATCATTATCAGTAGGAAAATATATTCTTTTCCTTGAATGTGAGGAAGAGGTCTTGTTTGTTGTTTAAAGATATATTTATACACATTATTTTACCTATTTTTACCTATTTTCTGAGGTAATATCCTAGTGCATTTCTGCTCCTGGAAGATATATGCCTTTCAGTTTCTACTTTCATAATCTATTTATATAATCATGAATGTAAGATAAACCAAGTTCTAATTCCTGCTTTTCCCTCTTTCTGTATGAAAAAAAAGTATGAAGATACCAATATAATTTTGAATGCTTATTATGCAGATATTTTTTAAAACTGTTTTTTGTAACCAACTATGTTCTTGCAAGATAGGGACAAGTAAATTATTGCACCATGTACTTTTAAAATGGTAAGACCATATTTCACATTCATAATTTGTTCAAGATGTTAGTTTTATTTGACTGGTAATGCTCCTTATCTATCTATGGTAACTTGTTCATGTTTTTTTTTTTTTTTCCCTTTGCCACTTTTGCCTTTTTTTCTGTATGTTCATTTTCATTTCTCCAGTTTAATCATATCATGATATTGAGATTCTCCTACTGCGAGTCAGAAAAGAGCCATTTGGCAACCTATACCATTCCAACACTCACGCTATCCCACCCATTTGTGTCTCGCTTCGGAAGACAGGAGTAAGACGAGCCGGGTGGGCTGTTGAAATAATGGGAGTGGGGGAGTAGGGTTGTGTGGAGTTTTTCAGAATGTTTTTTATGATTTTTTTTTTTCTGTTCTTTTTAGAAAAATAGTTATTTAGCAATTAAATGAGTTGTATTTGTTGATATAATTATTTTTCTCACAGCAGAGCACAGTGCTAGCAATAGCAGTAACAGCAACAATAGCAATAGCAATAGCAGCAGCAACGGAGGCCGGGCAGCAAGTAGAAAACAGGTGCCGAATAATCACGAGAGATTTGAGAGAAATCGGGAAAACCAGTCGAAAAGGGGAACCCAGAGGAGGCGAAAAGGAACATCATTTACGCATTCAGGTAAGGAAGCATTTAACTTAGAGGATGATCTGTCATATAGACTCCCAATAAATAGGCATTTGAAATGTTGGAGGATTTTAGAGCATAATATTCTGTTTCATGTCAGCCATTTAGTGGATCCAGTAGTCTTGCATTGTAGGATTTAAAAAGTTATACTTGAGTAACATTTATCCATCTTTTATTATAATTTTGTGATACATGAATATTTTCATTTTGGAATCTTAATCTTAACCCATTTACGATGGGTGTCCCACATATGAGACACCCGAAAAAATAAAAATTGCCGGGTATCCCGCCAGTGACGTTGGATTGGAGCTTGTGCTCCGATTCCGTCACGGGCCGTGGCAGGCGCGCTGGCAAATACTGGGCCAGACCCGCGTGCTGATTTTGTAGCCACCTGGAAACTATTATTTTCGGCTTCAAAATATACCTGCGTTAGTGGGTTACTAGTACCTTTAAACACTACGTTTTCTTGTGTGATCTAGTATCCTTTTATTTTTCATGGCTCTTGAGAACACCCCCTTTGCTCTTCCCTTTTGCAGAACTGGTGGTAGCGAGCTGGGCTGTAGTGGTGCAGTGGGTGGGGCTGGCACTGCAGGCAGTCCTATGGCTGGGCACCCTCTCTGCTGATGTCATGGTCATGAGCTCCCGCCTCTCACTCCACCTCATGACAGTAGTCTGGGCCAGGCTCAAGGAAACATGGGCCTGGCTCATGCTTAACGGCCGATACTACTGGACTAAGTGGACCAATGTCTTCTGGAACTCGGATAAGGAACATATAAAAATGTCAGGTGAGAGTGTGTAACACTGGATAATGTTGAAGTATTGTTATGCCAGCCTGATTTAACATGGGAAACAAAGTCGATGGTAATCATTACCAACAGAATTGCACCTGTCAGAGATTAAGTCCCCAAATCAAGTCAACAATCTTGTGGTATCCTGGGGGGAATCAGGTGCTTTGGGTGGGGGATATAGCTAATTTCACTCACAGCAGGTATTTAGGAAGTTAAAAATGGTGTAAAAATTAAAAAAACAAGTTTTTCAAGTTTGCATTTCATACAACAAGGATAATACAAAATGGAAAAACATGAGCTGAGATTTGACATGGTGCTGCACAAGTGGACAAATGAATGAATCCCAACCTAAATGCACAAATAACACATAGGTGGCTGTAGGAGCATACTTTCCCCTAGGGTTTAAATATCTGTCTTGGCTGATGCCTACTTTGCTGCAATCATTTAATCCTAAAATGATAACTCAGTGATTTATTTTGCATGCAGTAAAGTAAAAAATTATGATTCTTTTCATATATGATTTTTACCCCACTATCCCATAGTAACTTTAGAAAGGTCATGCTGTGGGCCAATATTTTTATTTCCTTTTTTTCAATACTGCCTTTGTATTTTTTTTTTTTTTAATTTCTATCAGTAAAATAAACTTCATCTCACATTTTTTCCCTAAATGCATAAATCCACTCTACACTCTTTAAAATGCAAATGACAGGTTTTCAAGTACAGAAAAATTGTACAAGCTAGATGGTACTGAGCACTGGGGAGAGGCCAAACAGAGATATGCTGTTTGAATTTTGGACACCACTTAACCCAGTTATGATGGGTATCCCACATATGAGACACTCAAAAAAAAAAAAAAAAATGCTGGGTGTCCCACCAGTGTGACGCTGTATTGGGGCTCGCGCTCCAACTCAGGAGCGGGCAGAGTCTTGGCCAGCCCTGCACGCAGATTTTGTAGCTGCTTGGAAACTTTTCTTTTCGGCTTCTAAATATACCGGCGGTAATGGTTAAAGAGTTCTTTTCCTGTATATATATATATATATATATATATATATATATATATATATATATATATATATATATTTTTTTTTTTTTTTTTTTTTTTTTTTTTTTTTTTTTTTTTTCCCCCACAAAATATAATAATCTTGTATATGAAAAATACTCATTTAATGTACTTTGGAGTGAGAATATTGGCATGACAATCAGTATTATTGTTTGCAGTAGATAGAATAATTTGTAAATTGATCTGTTCCAATTTTTTTTTTTTTTTTTTTTTTTTTTTATAAAATAAATATTCTTGTTTGAAATGTTAGATATATTCGTTGTCATAAAGAAAACTAAACTAATCTAAATAATGATGGTCCTAAAACTTTAAAAATACATAAATGACTATGGATGATGATATTGCGATGGGGTGCCATGTGGAGTCGGGGGAGTCAAATTTAGTTATTGGTCCCAATGTATTGTTACATGTGTAAGGAAGCTGCCCTTTGATTGTTTGACTCCATCTCGGAATATTTCATGGTGTAACTGGGGTGTAAGCAACATGGAGTGACAGTGCATTTTCACTTATTTGAACTAAATGGCCTTTACACTTGTTCTGACCATTAATTTGGCTTATAATAAAGTAATTTCATATTGATATCAGTTCAAATAATGATTTTTACACCATATACCAATACACATGAATGATACATTATGATTTATGATGAAATATAAAGAAAAGAAATAAAAATTGCGTGCAAAGCTTGCTTTAGTAGGCCTACATGCAAAAAACATATTGTATTGGGACCTCACGGTAGTATGTTATTGTTTAGCTATCATTTGCCATGTGTACTTCATATCAAATCTTAGTTTATGTGCAGGCATGCAGGCGAGTGTTTGTGTGTGTGTGAGCTTGTGCACAAGTGTATGAGAGTACGCCCACGTGCACTTTTGTGTATATGTGTGTGTGCATGCATGTGTGCATGTGTGTGTTTGTGTGCATTTGTGAAAATTTACATATGTGCGTGTGCCTGCGTGGGGGTGTCTGTGTGTTTGTTGGAGTGTGAGGTGAAGCATAGAGGATGGCTGAAGGCAAGCGCGCACGTGATCACAGGACTAACCATAGCATTTAGTGGGCTGGATGGCAGCATCAGGGATGACATCACTGCCACTCCATTTTACATTTTTTGATGCTGTCCTCTAAGACCTAATCCAATCTGAATGAAATAAAAAAGCAATAGCAAGAGCAAAGTCTGAGCTTCCTTTTGGTCTACAGGCACATACTATAATCTAATAATCAATGTCATTTACCCAAATTGAGTTGTTTATTATGAACACCCCCTCTGCTCTTCCCTTTTGCAGAACTGGTGGTGGCGAGCTGGGCTGTAGTGGTGCAGTGGGTGGGGCTGGCACTGCAGGCAGTCCTCGCTGTTGAGGGTGCCCAAAAGAAAAAATTTTGTACTTGTGTATTTTCATTTTTTTCAAGAGCCAGGCTTTTCAGAGCTTGAAATCAGATGCTAAAGCACTTATTATTCATGTTTCCCCTTGCAGGAAAGGAAAACAAAGTCTCAAATGGCCTCGAATGCAATATCTCTTTGCCAACGACTGGGGAGGAGGCCATGAAGCGACTCTTGGCATGTAAGGGGAAAGACCCATACAACATCCTTGGGGTGACGCAAGACTGCACGGACGAGGATATCAAGAAGTACTATAAACGGCAAGCGTTTCTGGTGCACCCAGACAAGAACAAGCAACCAGGAGCAGAGGAAGCCTTCAAAATTCTGGCACATGCCTTTGAAATTATAGGAGAGCCGGTGAGAAGGATTTTCTTGTTTTATTTTATATATCCGCTACCTCTTCCTCCTCCTGATAAAGCGAAAATAATTATGAGATAGTGGCAATGGCAATGATCATGAAAGTAAGAGGTGCAATGGAATAATCCTCTGCTTGGTCTTCAACAGGATCGCCGACGAGAATATAATGCTAGTTTAGCAGAAGTTCAGTTAGAAGGTGCGTGGGGGGAGCTGGCATCACTCTTAACGCGGCTCCAGGAGAAACTCGACGAAGCCGCAAACACCATACGCTGCACCAACTGCAACAAGAGGCATCGACGCACCAAGTTAACCAAGCCTATTTATGCGGCAAGACACTGTGCGGAATGCCAGATACACCATGCTGCGAGGGAGGTAAGATGATATGAACTGAGAATGGGTCATTAATTCTTGGTAATGAATATTTTGAATAGAATTTGCAGCAGACTTCATGATTATGGATAATAATAACAAAATAAATTATTTTCAGTCAAGTATATGCTCTATATATTCACAATAATGTTTTCCATCACATCTGTGATTTTCCTTGATTAGTAGAATGAATACTATTATTATACATTTTCTGTAAATAAGAGGAATATTTATCAGTTTTGCTCTCCTCAGATTTATGCTGGTTTTATCTTGAATGTTTTTATTTGGAGAATTCCCAAAGTGAACCAATACTTTTGGACTGACAAGGGGTATACTTTAAGAGTTATTTTGGGTGTAAAAACGTTTGCCTGCATTGATGGACATGAAATGTCATACCATGAACTCTGAACAGGAAATAGATTTCTGTTAAATAATTTGCTTTTAGGGCACAAATACTGTCATTAGCCACTGTACACGGTGTTGGAATGATGCAAATAACCAAACTGTTAATACACCTACATGGTTTTGCAGGGTGACATATGGGCAGAAAGCACTATGCTAGGTCTTCGATGGAGGTACTTTGCGTGCATGGAGGGAGCCGTGTATGACATCAGTGAATGGGCGGCATGTCAGAGTGAGAACCTGAAGCACCTCCAAGCAAACACCCACAGTGTCCAGTACCGGATTGTATCTGGGAAGAAAAATCCCCCTTCGAAGCGGAACACCCCAGAGTTTCCGAGGTTTGTAGTGATATTTTTATTTTGGGCTCATTTTCAGATAGTGGCAAAAAAAGCTAAGTATGCTTATGCAGAAAAAGAGAAAATTACCCTGCAAAGGGGGAGTCTTGGAGTCTCATCACCTCTTGCGAGTGCTCATGTGCAACCAGCCTACTTCTGCACACCTGTAAGAGTGGGCCACATAATGGCAGTAAATCAAGTGATTATATTGTTTGTAGATTATTTCTCAGAAGGAATCTCACAAGCTTGATCTTTGTTTTATTTTTATAGATATCTGTATCAGTCTCTGTCTGTGAATATACATATGTATGTAGATATACATGTCTGTGTAGATATACATATGTATATAGATATACATATGTAAATAGGTATACATACATACATATATATATATATATATATATATATATATATATATATATATATATATATATATATATATATATATATATATATATATATATATTATATATATATATATATATATATATATATATATATATATATATATATATATATATATATATATATATATATATATATATATATATATATATATATATATATATATATATATATAATATATATATATATATATATATATATATATATATATATATATATATATATATATATATATATATATATATATATATATATATATATATATATATATATATATATATATATATATATATATATATATATATATATATATATATATATATATATATATATATATATATATATATATATATACACACACACATATATACATACGCACACATATATGAATATATATACACATGCCTGCATACATACATACAAATATTGTTATCCTCATTGTCATTATTGTTATTATTCTTTATAACATATTTCTTTATTTCTCTTTCTCCAGTGATCCAGACCTGGAAGAATTCTTCAACAACCTCTGTAAGGAGAAATTTGGTAAGAACTACACTTCGAGCAGCAGCCAGTCTGGAGGCCAACAGATGCCTGATATGCGTAAGAGGAAGGGCAAGAAAAAGAAGTGAAAATAGCTCGGCCAAAATAACAACGGTGCTTTTCATAAACAGCAGCAGCGGTGTGGGAACTCTTGCGGATTGTGATGCCATTGCTGGAGAATCTTACTGTCTTTTTTGTTTTAATTTTTGTGTTAATGAATTTTATTGTTATTGAATTTTTTTTAAAATGGTGATTGAATCTTGATAATATCGAATTTCGAATCAAATATATAGATGCACATTACAGTGACTTGTTATATTGCTGATGTATATTTTGCAATGATTAAGGGCAAATGCTATTGTTGGCTGATAAAGCATGTATACACATAGGCTCTCAAATACAAAATTCTTCAAATACCATTGTGTGGGTACTTGCATTGAAACACATACACATCAATTTGGATATGAATTCATGTTTATTCATTCACTTGCTTTCCAGTGAATAAACTAAGACACGCTTATCCTTTGACATACACTCAACTTGTACATTTACATACTTCTCAGTATTTCTCCAGTTAGGCCTGCTAATATACAAATACTTAGGCTCATAACAACCTATTTACAAAAACAAACACACATGCACACTCGCACACACATATGCATGCACACACACATATGCTTGCACACACACATGCATGCACACACACATATGCTTGCACACACACATGCATGCACACACACATGCATGCTGCTTACACACACACATGCATGCACACACACATATCATCACACACACACACACGTGCACTCACACACACACATGCACACACACACATACACACACGCACACTCACACACACATACACACACACTCACACACACACATACACACACGCGCGCACTCACACACACACATACACACAACTACACACACATACACACTCAAGCGTACACGCACACACACACGCACACTCACACACACCCCCTCTCCCTCTACCACCTCCTCCTCTTCTTCTCTCCCTCCCTCTCTCTATCACCTTTCCCCTCCCTCTCCATCTGTCCCCTCCCCCCCTCCCTCTCCATCTGTCCCCTCCCCCCCCCCTCTCCATCTGTCCCCTCCCCCCTCCCTCTCCCATCTGTCCCTCCCCCCCTCCCTCTCCATCTGTCCCCTCCCCCCCTCCTCTCCATGTCCCCTCCCCTCCCTCTCCATCTGTCCCCTCCCCCCTCCTCTCCTGTCCCCTCCCCCCCTCCCTCTCCATCTGTCCCTCCCCCCCTCCCTCTCCATCTGTCCCCTCCCCCTCCCTCTCTTTCTATCACCTTTCCCCTCCTCTCTGTCTGTCCCTTCCCTCTCCTCTCCGTCTGTCCCCTTCCCCCTCTCTCTCCGTCTGTCCCCCATCCCTCTTCATCTGTCCCCTCCCCCTCTCTCTACCCTCTCCCTCTCCCTCACCATCTGTCCTTCCCCCCTCTCTACCCTCTCCCTCTCCATCTCCATCTGTCCCCTCCCCCCCTCTCTCTCCATCTCCATCTGTCCCCTCCCCCTCTCTCTCCATCTCCATCTGTCCCTCCCCATCTCTGTCCCCTCACCCCTCTCTCTCCATCTCCATCTGTCTCCTCCCCCCCTCTCTCCATCTCCATCTGCCCCCCCCCTCTCCATCTCCATCCGTCCCCCCCCTCCTCTCTATGTCTCCATCTGTCCCCCCCCCTCTCTATGTCTCCATCTGTCCCCTCCCCCCTCTACCCTCTCCCTCTCCCTCTACCTCCTCCCTCTCACTCTCCCTCTCCCTCCTCCCCCCTCTCACTCTCCCTCCTCCTCTCACTCTCCCTCTCCCTACCTCCACCTCCACCTCCTCCCTCTCTCTCTCTCTACCTCCTCCCTCTCCCTCTCCCTCTCCCTCTCTCTCTACCTCCTCCCTCTCCCTCTCCCTCTCCCTCCCTCACCCCTCATCCCCCACTCTCTCCCCCTCTTATCCCACTCACTCCTCTATTCTCTCCCCCTCCCTCTTCTACTTCCCTCTCCCTCTCCCTCTCCCTCTCCCTCCCTCACCCCTCATCCCCCACTCTCTCCCCCTCTTATCCCACTCACTCCTCTATTCCTCTCCCCCTCCCTCTTCTACTTCCTATCCCTCTCCCTTTGTCCCTTCACTTGCCCTGTACCTCCTTCCTCCTCTTTCTCCTTCTCCCCCTCCTTCACCCTCCCTTCTTTACCCCCTCATCACCCTTCACTCTCTTTCTTTCCCCCTCTCTCAAACTGCTTTTCTGCTCTTTCTCCCTCTTTCTTATGTCTTCTACCCAATTCCCCCCCTCCCCCCTCTTTTCTCTCTTGCTAGAAAGACAAACAAACTAATGAACAGACAGATACTGTCCAAGTGCAAGTACGCAGCAGTGACACAAGATGTTTAATCCCCTACTCCCTTTCTGAAGTTACGAATTGTGACTTCATTTTCCATTATGCGATGGCAACAGTTTCCGCCAGTTACGTTTTTACATTTTTTAATTGTTCATTTTATTTTTCTTATTTATTTATTTATTTTTCGAGACAGTTTTATACCTTCTATCTAAAGAAAGTGTGTGGTTTATTCAGAATCCCATGTGTTATATGGTATTAAATGCTTGTTTAGATTTTTTCTTTTCATAGTTTTTCCAAGAAAAATGTCTTCTTCCATACCAAGGTTTTGCTCCTTCAGACATAGGTGTTGAAGAGCTATTACTCCCTTCCCCATCCATTGTTTATTATTATTATTTTTAAATGTCAATAATGAGAAAACCACTATGCAGTTCTTATAAGCTGTGACTGCGGAGATATTGTATTTGAACTCTGCTCCTAATTAAATTGTTTCAATAAATTCTAAAGTAACTTAACAAAAGCATCACCCCCCTGAAAATTGAAAATAAAAATGATTAAAAAAAACACGAAAAAAAACAAAAGACAGTGAAAAGATAACAATATATGTAAACATTGATTGCCAAAGTGTCACAAGTTTCTATGCTTGGGTTTATTGATTACCTGAAATATCGAAAATTCATTTACATTTTATGTATATTCCCGAACCTTACCTCCCTCCACCCCCCATTTCTGTAGACCAGGTTACATGGGTCATAATATTAAGAGATTTTGTAACTTTATTCTTTAAAGTTAACAGAACACTGCAATTTTTTTTTCCTCTTTTTATGTTTCTGAGTAATTGTAGCTGTGATTACAAGACTGGATATTGCTTACAAGGTGCAGTTTTCTTTTAAGAATATTATTTTTGGATATACACAAAGAGTTATACATTACTTTCTCTTTTAGGGGCAAATATATGGCAGCTCTCTCTAGGAATTTTCGGTGAAGAGCAAGTTAAGAAAACGAGAACTTTGACTTTTCCTGTTCTATCTTACTTTATTCTGAACATTCATGTAAAGGAAGTCTATTCGATCTGAATATTTATGTTTTAAATTTTTTTTTATCATTTTCGACGACCTTATTTATGTATATATACACGTATATATTTTTTCTTCTATTCCTCCCTCCCTTTCCGCAATTGAAACCAGCTTGGTTCGACACAAAAAACAGTACCATTGCATATTGTTGTCTTCAATAGTTGGGAGGCCTTTTTGCTGTGTGGTGATTAAATGCATATTACGCCCTAATGGTTTGAGTAACGTTTCACAACAGAAGACATAAGCACACTTCCTTCTTAAAAAAAAAAAATATGCATATATATGTATATAATATATATATATATATATATATATATATATATATATATATATATATATATATATATATATATATATATATATATATATATATATATATATATATATATATATATATATATATATTATATATATATATATATATATATTATATATATATATATATATATATATATATATATATATATATATATATATATATATATATATATATATATATATATATATATATATATATATATATATATATATATATGTATATGTATATGTATATGTATATATATGTATATGTATGTATGTATATATGTATGTATGTAGTATATATATGTATATGTATGTATGTATATATATATATGTATATATATATATATATATGTATATGTATATATATATATATATATTATATATATATATATATATATATATATATATATATATATATATATATATATATATATATTATATATATATATATTTTATAATATATATATATTATATATAATATTGTATATGTATATGTATATAATTATTTATATGTATATATATTATATGTATATATATTGTATATGTATATGTTATATATTGTATATGATAATATATATTGTATATATTGTATATGTTATGTGTATGTATGTATATAATGTATGTACTGTATATATATATATATGTAATAAGATATATATATATATAATATATATATGATTTATTATAATATATTGGATATGTATATGTATATATGTAAGTATGTATTATATGTATTTAACTAATATCTAGTATATCAGTATACATTATAATGAGTGTAATAATAACATATATATCTATGTTTATAACAGATATATGATAATATACATATAATAATTATAAAATTACTTATTATTATAATCTATGTATATGTATATATGTAATATGTATTATAATTACTGTATATTGATATGTATTGAGTAATAATATATATCTGTTGTATTAAGTAATGTATGATAAATATATATTACATATGTAAAATTATATATGTTATAGTATATGAACACACACAATATCTTAATGCGACAACACTAGTAACATAGTATGTACCTAATACTACTACCTAACTCGTAATCTGTAATATGCTATGATATATACTTATGTTTACACAAGTATATGTATGTACGTATATCCTTTGATATACGTGCACGCTATAATGTCTGCACTAGCCATATATATCTGTGACGTCTATGTCAGTATGTACATGTACTGCTAATATCTAGTCTATATGAATATGTAGCGTCATACTATACACTTCATATCGATATTATGATATATGGACCTGCACATACCACCATATACCTATCGATACCTACGTATATGTATCGTTAGAGCTTAATCATATCTATGAATATGCATAACAATGTATGCAACACACTTACAACTAATACTGCCACTCTAATGTATACTAGCAACTAACGCATACCTGACAACACACACACACATAATACTACACATTCTAACATCCTATGGATAATATAATTGATATATGTGAGATATAGATTAGTATGTGTGTAAAATGATGATATTATAGTGATGTATAATATATCTATTATATGTGATATGTATGTAAATTAAGTAATACATATGTTATGGTATATGTATGTAGAAATATATCTATGATAGATTGATTAAAGATTATATATATAGTTATATAATTATATATTTCTATGTTATAATGATAAGATATAATATGTATT